AGAGAGAGAAAGAGAATAAAGAGTAAAATGCAATAATATTATTTGGAAAAACCTTGAAAAATTAAATACTACATAAGAACTATTATGAAAAAAAATCAAATATAGAGTTACATAAAAGTAGAATAAGGTGGCCGGAAATTAAGTATATAGTAATTAAATATTATAATCATTTGAAGCTATTAGATACTTTTAATACTACACTCTTCTTAAATGGTATCACAAATGTTTTCATACTCTCTTTATATCTAATATTTTTCTCTGTATGTATTATAATATTTAACTATTGAAGTTAGTCTTGTTAAAAAATTCTTCATATTTAATTTTACAATTTTTATTTATTTATTATGGCTCAAATATAAAAATTCTAATACCTTGAAAAGTATGTCAATTAATAAAATTATAATTAAAACGAATTATATTTTTAATAGGTTCAAACGTATTTCAACTAATAAATTCTAAAATTATGTAGATTAAAGTTGTATTACTTACGTGTATTAAATTAAACTAACAATATTCAAGTATTGTCTGTTAAAATGTTATATTCCTTAGAAGTGATACTTTTGGAAGAATTAATTTTTTGAATAGTTAAATAAATTCTTTGGGGTCTATAGATATCGATGATAATTTTTTATATAACTACTTGTACATGTATGATACAGATTACAATAGACATTAAAATATTAAAAGGTCAACGAACTTCACTATTCTCAAACAATTTGCGTTTATGAAGATAAATATTGATTAATACTTTTCGGTTTTGATTTTCCGTATTCAGTAAATAATTATTGCTTTGCTTATCTCGTGTTGTGCATCATTTGCGTCAACAATGTTGCACGAGATCAGATAAAAAATTTGTTTTTTTTTTCGGTTCCCTACTTCAGTGAATAATATATTCTAATACAACTATGGTATACAACGCTTTAATTTTTATAAATCTATAGAAGGGTTATGTGTACCGTATGTACGTTATTGTGTGACTTATGTGTCTCGGTGTTTATGCAATTGTAAAAATATACGAATACACATAACAAGTATTCAGTTGTAGGCCAATAGGTGGCACTGGGGCATTCTCTCGATGATAAAAAAAAGCGTCATCGTCATTGCTCAACAAAAAATAATGTATACATAATAAGGTAAGAGTATTACTTTACATTTGATATAATCTAACCCATGATCTGCTGATAATTTAAACGTAACAAAAACCAAAATAAAATTAGTTTTTTTTTTTTTTTTGCAAAATTTAGCGAAAAACTAAATTTTCATCTTTCTAAATTAATTTAAATATAAATTTATAATATATATATATTTAATTATGGTAATAATTATAGTAATACAACTTGACCACAATCCATTTTTAAATTCGTAATTTTATTGGTTTAATTTTATTATTAGTAATAAAAATTTGTAAGTTATTATCGTTATTTTAATATTTATTAATATTAAAACATAGTAAGTGATACATTCTTATACGATTTCCATCATTTGAAATGACATGATAATACTATAGTATAATTAATCTTATATAGTTTATAAAAAAACATTTTATTTTCAACTTTTTAATACAACTAAAAAATTATAAAAGTATTTATACATATTATTATACTAAATATGAATTATAGATTTAATTGTTGTTTTCTGAATGATGTTTTTGTTTTATTTCGTGATAATTTTATTAAACACGATAATGTCCTTGAAATTAGTTTTATTTAACTATGAAAATATGATAAAATTACAAATTATTTTGAACTACCATTAATAGGTAACTGAAAAACACCAACAAAATATAATATTTTTAGTTAAAAAAACTTACTTTATCTGAATAAAATTCATGAAAAATGTATAAAATTTAAGTTAAATTATAAAAATAAATATTATTACGGATTCGTAATTGATAATCAATTACATTTCTACATGGGATTTATTACAAGATTTTTTTGCTAGTCTCAAAGTACAAAATACAAAAACTTTATTATATGCCAAACGCATACTTCTACAAACATTGCACGCAAAAAACCCTAATATTACCACTTATGAATGTGTAATTTTATATTTATTATGATTTATAAACACTACTTGTACTTCATCAAAACACGAATCATATGTCGAATGATAAATTTTTTATTAATAACAGTAATAGTTTTAACCTATGCTATGTGTGTGTATATAATAAGTGGTTATGTCCTTACTTCTCAAATTTACAAGTTCCATATGAACGAAAAATCATGAATGTAATCTTGCCGCGTAGAAATACGTAAGTATAATACTACATGCATATAGTGTTTTATTTTTTTAATTGACGTGAGCTTCATAACAACATTAAAGTGTGAATATAAGATCGTTTAACCTGAATATTTCTACTTATAAAAACCCTCTTTGAGAGTACGTCTGATGAAAACTTAAATTTAAAAATAACGTGAACCACTGTAGTTGGACGGAAAAAAAACATAGTTATTATAATCATTAATTATACATTCATAATAAAACTTTAATCACACACTGAGAAGGAATTTCAAAAAACGATCAATGCTTGTAAAGCAATATAAATAATGAACACCAGTCTTACTTAGTTATAAGCTTGGTGTTGAGGTGATGTGACTATTACCCACCGGGGGGGGGGGGGGAAGAAGATAATATACATGGTTGTTAAAAACTTCATAAAAAAAAAAAAAAATTATATATTGAAATAATATACTATTATACTCGTGTGCTAAACATTTTATATTGGTCTCAAGAGAGGAAGATTTTAAGTGAGGCCTCGAGGCTATAAATTGGTTGGTTTTGCTTTAGTAGACAAAATTATAAAAACACCGAAAAATAATTTAGGTTTAAAATATTTTGTCAAAAATGAATTTTTTTTTTTGCTAATATAAAATGTATATCTAATAGGATATAATAAACATATTAAAAATGTATAAATAAATATTAGAGCAATATAAATAGGTATACAATAATGATATATGTTACATGTGTTGTTATATACTTCGTTATTGAAGCGACTTAAAACATATTTAAAATCAATAAGCCTAAATATTCAATGTTGATCATTTTTAATTTTATAAAAATTACTAAAAGTAGTTAAACAGTTACAAATAAATTACTGTATATATTATATATCATATTTTAGAAATAAATTATAATTTTTCCACTTCAATCCAATTTTTTAATCCATTGTAAGTATATTAATGTACTGATTATTTATAAGTAATATTCGGATTTTCATGCGAAAAATATTATGAAATATAAATAAACGTATGCACACAAATATTTATAAACACAGAAAAAATGTCTTTATTGTGTGCTAAAAAAACTATGTTTCAAAATAGAATTACAAAATGTGATTTTAGATTTTAAATTTTAAACTTCTGCGACTGTCGCATAACTTAAGTTCATTAATTAAACTTGGAAAAACTTCTTTCTATATCACAAGATACAAAACGTGTATATTTAAGACAATAATTGTAGAATGATAATTTATAGATCATTGGGTTTAAACAAACGTATTTAAATTGCCAAATATATAAATTAAAAAAAAATGAATTTTTGAATCAGAATATAATATAATACAATTTCATTTATTATTTATAAAAAAATGCAATTTTTGTGCAATCATATAGCAATTCATAATTTAAAGTAAATTTCACTAAAAATGCAAAAAAAAAATACAAGAACAAAATTATCTGTTAGACTTTACACACTGTGATACGTCAACATTTGCATATTAATCTAGGTCTTAGTTATAAGTATATAATAATATTATATTAACCTGAACTTATTCGCACCTACAAGTTATTGTTATTTCGATTTGTCATGTAACCTGTGTATGTGTGTATGTGTGTTTGTATTTACGCCTTATCAGTGCTTTTTTAGGGTCCAAGTTGGACGACGGCTGTATAAGATAAAACGTGTTAAATGTGTATACATAATACTATAACATTTATAGATAATGAGCAATAAATAAAGAAAACGTATTATTGAGATTTTATTATTATGATATAATAATATATATCATAATATCGTAGACGTAATATTTACTATAATATAATATTCCGATTGTGTTACTATAATAATATTCAAATATTTATTGACTATATGTGACTATTAAGTGTTTGCACTTTATCGTTAATATAGAATGGTGTAAGCTTCCAAAGTGTAAATAATTTCAATTCGATTTATATTATTAGATCGAAAACATAAATAATTTCGTTTGTATTCATAATATTCTAATGTATTGAAAACCGATGACATCGATTAAATCGTTATAGCATTCTAAAAAATATGTTTTACTGGATTTGGAAAAAAAACAAATGACATCAACATCCGAACTATAAACCTACATTATTATGATGATCAATAAAATAATCGATTATGATTAATGTAGCATCTACAACAAGTCATTATTTTTTCATTAATTATTATTATTTTTTTTTTCGTCGTAACTCATCGAATCATAACCGTGTGCACGTATTATACTCGGAACACGTTTGAAATGTCGATACATCGCAAACGACAAGGACGTCGAGTTATTTTCAAACGACTAATGTTACCGTTTCATAACTAGAAAAGAAATCCCAATAATATACGTGTTATGCAAATGAATCGCATCGGGGACTAAAGGCGGGACGTTTTTTCGCCCGTTGATTACGAACCGATTGTTACGTGCTCTTTTCAAATACGCCCTATGATCGAGATCATTCCGCGACAGGGACGTTTCTCGATTTCGGTGCGCGTTTTACGGGGTTGCTTTCGTTTGCATTCTCGTGAATAGTTTAGTCTGAACCAAAGTAATTGCATTAAATGCTGTCTTGAACAACAACAACAACAACACGGGTAGGCACGACCGGGGGAGTAGTGCAGGAAAGCAATAATCTCGTACGCGTGCGGTGTATAGGGCGGCGGTGACGGCAGCGGCGCGGTACTCGGGCGGTTCGTGCACGGGTGGGGGCGGCGGGGGAACACGCGCGTTGTCGACCACCGCGGGGAATCGCAGCGGACACGTCCGTTCCGCGCAGTCCGCAGAACACGATCGCCGGATCACGATGGTAACGCCGAACTCGACCGTAGTGTCCGCGATAATGCCGAGCACCGTGTCGCCCGGGTTCCGGATGGCCGTCGTGGTGCCGTTCATCGTCGGCATATTCGGCAACCTGTTGGCGCTGTTGATCCTGCGCCGGATCCGGAGCAGCAGCAACCAGAAGCACGGGTTCCTGTTGCGGTGCTTGGTCACCAACGACTGCATCGCACTCACCGGCATGTTCCTCATGTTCGTCGTGAAAACCCTGTGGCCGGACGTCAAGAGGGACGTGTGGATGTGCCGGTTCCTGGTCCTGTGGCGGTTCTTCGGGCTGAGCTCCGGTTGCGTGGCCATCGTCATGGCCGTCGAACGTTGGCTGGCCCTCACCAAACCGTTTTTCTACCAACGAGTACGTATTTGTTATAGCCACCGTGTCCGATGGATTATAATATTTTGATATATTACTGCCTCGCCAACGATTATTTCGCCTTCCGCGTGTAAAACATCGTTCTGAGCTACTACGTGTGTGCTGTCTATATCACTGAAATCTGTCAGATACCGGTTGGATATTGAGTCGAAAATACTATTGGCGCAATATCGATTTTTTTACTCGACGGAACCCGGCAAACATATACCCCCGTAAATATATTTTCAAAAATATAATATCAAATCAACAAATTAACAATTAAAAGTACATACATAAGTCACGTATTATGTGTAAACTTATCGTTCCAGAATTGTGCGTTTAGTAGGAGTTTATACAGGAGTTCCTGTACTCGTATATATTCTTTATACCACCGTTTGATTGCTAAATAATAAAAAAACGTAGACAAATAATCCCTTATTATTTACTGTACACGTTTACAATTTAAAATTTTGAAAAAGTTATGTCAAAGATTTTCTGGATAAGGAAGAGGAGAATCGGTTATATATAAGGGGACTAAGCTCCCTAACATGTGCCAATTTGCGCGTCTCATCGGCGTATTTATTATGTAGTTGAACCAGTCTAAATCGTTGTTTTATCCTTTCACCAAGGATACTAAAAGTTGTCTGCATGATTTCGAATATGTCCAGGTATTTTTATCGAAATTTTTCGATTTTGAATTTCGCGAGTAGACAAAAACGCCAGAAAGTTATGATTTTTCGGTAAATATCTTTTGTTTAATGTCATTATATTTATTCAATAACAACAATTTTGTTATTCGCTCTATAATCGACTTCGTGTTTTGGTACATTTTAGACTTAAATTTTTAGATGTTGATCTTATATTGTTTAATTTCAGAACTAAATTACACAATAAAATCGAAATTAAATCACTACGAATATTATTATAAAACCGTTAACATTCCATTACATTCACACATAATTATGTATAATATATTTTTAATTAAAATTAATATAGGAATAATTAATAAGATTAGTAAAAAATAAAGGTAGTAGCCTGCATTTTAGATACTTGAATATGGGAATACTGTCGTATTAATACTTAAATACAAATATATATATATAAATACATAAATAATTAAAATTTTATAAAATCCAAGCGATTTTTTTCACGTCACCCTTTCTAATAATATTTATACATTCAATATAACGAGCAAGGTCTAAATAGCCACAACAATTTTTAATTTTCATCTAAGTAACTGACGGTCATTTAGATATAAAATATAGCACATATATATATACTATCGCCACGTTATGTATACAACATTTATAATTAAATTATATTAGAATATTGACTCACGAAGGTGTACCTACATGTCAAATGATAATTTAATCAATTTTATCAATTACTTATTACATACAATTTAGACATTTTAATTTATTGTTAATGGAATAGTGTTCAATTATTATTGAACATTAGTCATTTTAAGTCTGATAATAATACCTTGTTCTATTTATTAATACGTGTTTGTTTTCTTTATTCTCAATTTGCCGAGTATTATGATTTGTGTCGCATCTTTGTTCAAATTCCCGATAAATATATGTACATTTTTTTTATTAACTTTACTTAACTTACTATTATAAGTATTATTAATATTTTTGAAACACTTGACTTAATAAATATAACAATAATACTAACGGTTCAACCATAAACGTTGTATTAGACGTGTTAAACGTTATCAGTAGGGACCGGATTTATATGCAAATGCATATATGTATTGGAATAAGCTTTTTGAAATCTGATGTCCCCGATTTAGATCTTTCTTATTAAAATAACACTAATTTTATTTTGCATATTTCAGTGTTTTTACTAGTGATGGGTCAAACCCTGATTTTTTAAATCGAATCGAACTTGAATCGAACTTTAAATTATTTTTTCGAACTCGAACTGAACCGAACCTTCATATTTTCTACCCAACAGAACCAAATCGAACCTATAATGATTTTAAGTCAAACTCGAACTCGAACTCAATACTTTTTATTGTGTATATTGTCCTATTTACCTACAAATTAAATCAACCATAATTATTAATTACTATTGTATTTTAAGTTTTCGTATTACTTATTCTATATTTTAACTTTTAAGTCTAAGTAATTATATTATTTACAAAACATTTAAATTTTAGATAATTTCTTATTATTATTATTATTTTTCAAAACCAGTATTGTGCTCTCTCGTGTTGTCTTGTAACTTATAAAATATTCATTGAGTATTGAGTATTGACTGTAATATGACAATACAATCAGTACATTTTAATAATATATAAAAAAAATATTAATAATAACTATAATTCACAAATATAGAATGAGTAGTAGAATTTATAATGTAAGACGTAAGTTGTAAACATGTTTTTATTAACAGCACAGTCGCAGTATCGGAATATTACCACGGATTCACCCAAAATAGATTTTAACTTCTATAATAAATATGATAAAAACAAAAATAGCTAATTTATGAATGTAGATACAACTTATTAATGTTTTGGTTGGTGAAGAGTGGATGTGTAACATGCGACTGGAAAAATAACATTATTATTATAAATAATGCATAACGTGCACTTTGCAGATTTCTATCGCCAATAGCCTAATTATTTCTAAATAATTATTATCATTATTAATTTTTATTTTTCAAATATAACTTTTGAAGAATTGTACAAATATTTGGTTTTCGAACTATCGTGGCCAGTAAGTCTGATTCGACAAATATTTTCAAGTTCGATTTTCGAACAGTAAAAGATGCTTGATAGTTCAGTTCGATTTTTTATTCATACAGAGTTCGAATTTCGAACCGAACCGAACATCAAGGTTTCGGTTTGGTTCAGTTCGAGATTCACACAGTTCGACCATCACTAGTTTTTACCTATATGAATATTCAATGCATATTTGTAGTTTTATAGTGCATATTATTTAAAAACTCGTTTTTATCGTATTTTCACGTCCACAGACATAATATCTATAAAATTACAACCGGTCGATATTTCCAAAGATTACATACTCATATCGCATATTAATCATATACGACATATATGTATATATACATAAATAATATAGAATTCAAGTGTCGACTTGACAACAAAATATTTTAAAAGCTTTTTTTATACTTTTTTAATACCGTATTAATTAATACTTATTTTTACATTTATAATACATTTCACATATTTGTACATAATTTTAAACAACATTTTAAGTGAATATTTAAGTACATATTTAAAAATAAATACATATTTTATAGCATATTACAGCAATTTTAGAAGCATATTTTGAGAATTTTTTTTATGCTTATAAATCCGGTCCCTAGTTATCAGTCTGTTAACTGTAAACAAATAACAGCAGAATATTGACTATCGCAATTTTAAAATAGCGTTTAAAAAATATTTTTATTACAATTAACATTATAACGCAATACATTATTTTATGTAAATTACACTAAATTACCTGTACAACTATTTATTCACGGTAGATGATGTAAAGTTAATACATGGTTCTTTACACTTACCGGTTATTTGAAAATTGTATTACATTCGATTATAATAGTATCCCTTGTTAAGCGCGAATATAAGGGGGCAGTCTATGGTGGCTAAAGCCCTTCTCTTGAGTCTTAGATACTTTAAATATTTCAAAGATTATCTGAACTTTCAATTTATTATTTAAAGTAAAGAAGAGCCATAACATACATATACATAACCTATGACAGGGGAACAAACCTAATATTAAATTATTAAATTTATTACAATATGTGTAAAATCCCGTAAGGAATAATAGCTTTATTGGTCTTTATTGCAGTTTAATTGTTTAAATCCAAATGATTTGCACATCAACATTATTTCGTTGATTTTTAACGGTATAAAACCAATTCAAAATGTAAAACTGCTTGTAAGACTCCGGGAAAGTACTCATGATTCATGTTATATCTTTATCTCTTTCGACAATACACATGAACTATCCGATAAAATAGCTGCGTTGTTGCGATGTGAATGATAAATTGTGGACTATATGATTCGAGGGAAACCGTGAGCGAACAGCTGGTTGAAAACAGCAACGCAGTCGAGAACGATCGGAATACGATCGCAATCGGATCAATCTTTAATAGCAAAGGAACAGATATTAGTAGTTATCGCGTGGAATACTTAGGTATGTGTAATGGATTTTAGATTTTTAGATATTATTTTTATATTATTATCGGTATTAGATTTTTTATAATGTCACTAGACGATTGAAATCCGAATAAGCCACTACAATATAACTGGTGTGATATGCATTCGAATATAATAATGTGTGGAAGTACTCGACAATTCTACTCATTTAAAATTTAAGTCCAAGGCAGATCGCGAGCCTGTATTGCAATGTCGACAGATATCGGTAAGAACATTTTTTGAGAGTAGTTACTTTTAATTAAAAAATAAAAATAAAAATCCGCTCGTCAAGTTACCGCAGCTACGGATCAAGTTTAGTCACAGCTCCGTGATGAATGTACAAGTTGACGCGGAATGGTGAGACATTGACACTCGGGTGCAAAAGACAGACGGTAGTGTAACACGTTGGCGGGGGTGTTACGTGGTGTACGTATAATCTTTCAAGTAATAATTTTGTTTTCAATGAAAATTCAATCGTGTGATATTCCGTTGGGGTGTACTAATATTTAATCTTCTTCTTAACTGAATTACTTGACCCCCCCCTGGGAGATTTTTATTTCCTATGTATGGTAACCTAAAAGTTAAAAATTCATTACACATCTAGCATAGAGCTTCAAATCTGTTTCGACCCTTTAAATGAGATTTATTTCCTCAACATTTCAAATGCATCGCTATAGTAGTTATGGTTATAAGCTGATCAGTTAGAGAGTGAGTACTGTTTTAAACTATTTTATCAATTTTTTTGGGGAATTCAAAATTGATTTACGACCCAAATGTTGAGAAATGCTATATGATTAACAGGTTACAGTAATTATACGTTTGAGATGTTTCG